TTTTTTTGGTCGACGGATGTAGTTTAAGCGTCGTACTGGTTTAATTGTACGACGGGGACGAGATGATGGATTTGATTCTTGAGATGCAGTTGGTTCGACGAGGACTGGTGACGGTGGAGATGCGATAGTGAGGAGAGATGATGGTTTCATAGTAAGACGAGAACGACATGATTTGTTTAATTTTTTACGTGGAGATGCGATAATGAGGACCGGTCATGGTTTCATAATACGACGAGGACGAGATGATTTGTTTGATTTTTGACGTGGAGTTGATAAGACGAGGATTGGTGAGAGTGGAGATGGGATAATGAGGACTGATGATAGTTGAGATGGAACAATGAGGACTGATGATGATGGACGGGCTGTGTCGTTGGATGATGATGGAGATGATGGTGATCGCTGAGTATTTCCCATTTTAATAAAATTTATTGAGAAGGACGATGAGATGATGAGACGATAAGATGAGATGTTGAGATAATGAGATGGATGAGATGATGAGTTGATATGATAATACGAATGATGTCTTTCACAAAGATAGTATGGAGTATTTTCGTTCACGTGCTGAACTTTTTGGTGCTGAAGAAGCTAAGGGTGATGTAGCAGCACAACTATAGAACGATGCAAAACAATTATATAGAAAAACAAGAGCCAATAACAAACATCAAACAGCATTAAAGCCTGCTGATAAACAAATGTTTTAGGTAAAAATTTCATGTTTATATAAACCATTGCATCTAGTGATAGACAAAAACCTATGTCTTTGAATATTAGTATTCGTATCGATGTAAATATGCTTTTAAAAGTGTCATAGTCTTATTTTTACATTATTCAACAATCACAACGATGATTATTGATCTATTGAAAGAACAAATTGTTAGCTCTTGTTTACACTGAGTTTTTGATACATGTTCTTTTAACTAAGAGAAAGATAAAAACAAAATTGATCTCGTTCACTTTACTCACAGTTTATTGTTCTAATAATATAATAGATTATAATTGCAAATTAATTCGGTTAATGAATTACTATAAATTAATCAGATAGTTATCGAGTCAATAAGAACTTTGATTTTGTTACAAATTATTTCTGTTAAACTTATGTACTTACCATTTATCATAACGTAGTTGTCTTATGATATTGTTTTATAAAATTATGGCAACAATAATGCTGAACACGATGATGAAAATGAAGATCAATTTTTCTAATTTCAAAAAGAAAAAGTAAATAGATTAATATCAAAATATAAGAATTATTTCATTTTTAAAAATACCTTTAAAAAAATCTCATTTGATATTTGAAAAAATCCTACTTCTCTTATATTGTTGATATTGATCATGCTCGAATATATGAAATATAAATTTGTTTGTTTGAATGGATTACACCATTCTAAATCAGAACAAAACTACACCAACAACAAGTTAATAGTTATCATGACAAACCATTCATAGTTTGCCACGGACAAGGTCTATCCAAAGCAAATTTGGAAAAGCGCCAAAAAGCAATAGGTGATTTGATGTCCTTCAATAACATTTCATCCACTAGTAAGGAACAAGACATCGCTCTTGAACTTGCTTATAGTACGGCAGAAGATGCGGACATGGTTGGTATTCTTTTCAAGATCTCGCAATGTGACAATTTTATCCTACACGGCGACTCTATCTATAACAAGTAACGCTCGTCTGCGGGTGCGGGCTCGCTCAGCCCTTTCTCGTAGAAATCGTATTCTACAATACTAAACGTTTTGCTTATACAGTTTGCAAAAATTAACACCGGATTTGTGTTCTTCCACCCCACTTACCCTTCGGTCACCCCTTATGAAAGATTTTTTTTTATAAAAATTGGTTCTCTCCCTAAACAAAGTGATCTATAAAATTATTTTATAAAACTAACATCAGATTCGAAGTCTCCGCATCGAAATGCCCCAAAAATGTCTTTTCTAAAAAATCGATTCACGAAGTACCCTCTGGTAAAACTTTCTTCGAACTATCTTTAAGATTAATAATATTAATTAATTATCAATTGATTTTTAACTAAAATTAACCTCACATTCGAATTCTTGGCACTCGATTACCCTTCGGTCAAACTTTTTTCAAAAATTAATAATATCAATTATTAACTGATTATTAACTAGTTAATTTTAATAAATCAATCTCAGATTCGAGTTCTCCATACTCGATTACCCTTTGGTCCAACTTTTCTGAAAATATTTCAAAAATTAATAATATTAATTATTAACTAATTATTAATTGATTGTTAACTAAAAGTAACCTCATATTCAGATTCTCTACACTCGATTACCCTTCGGTGAAACTTTACTCGAACATATAATAATACTAATTATTAACTTATTAATAGCTAGTTAATTTTAATAAACTGACCTCAAATTCAAGTTCCCCACCCTCGATTACCCCCCCCCCCCAGTCAAAGTTTTCCGGAAGTATCTAAAAATTAAATTTTAATGTTTTTTTTGACCCTGTGGACAGACAAGCAATCAAGCAATCAAGCAATCAGACAATTTATGTTTACTGGACTCTTCTCTACGAGAAAGGGAATTATTTTTTTTTTATTTTTTTTTGCTAGAATAACGGAAAAACAGTAGAATCAGAATATAATAAAAAAAAGAGGTGCATCCATAAAAAGAAAGAGAAAGTTCAAGAATATATGCGCATTTGTCATACACATAGCATCGAGACGTTCTTCATTCATAATCGACATATCATTCTAAAAAATAAAAAAAAACATCTCTCTTGTTATTGAATCAAAAGTAGACTATGGTGGAATATTAGTGTAAATACAGAAAAATTATGATATTAACATTATTTGATGAAATATACTTGAATAAAGATATAACAAGACAAACAGGTTCATCAACCATTTATTTTTTTCAGAAAAAATAATACAGTGAACCTTTCGATATCTTTCATAAGGTCATTTTCAACACTAAATTTTATGGAAATTTTTTACATATGGGTCAGATAGAATTCAGATTTACGTAAAATTAAACTAAATTTTAAGATGATTTCATGAGCATATAAATTTTGAAAATATTTAAAAAGAATAATTCAGTGGTTGTTATAATTTTAAATTTTAGAAAGACGTGGAGTTCGCAAGTTGTATTCAGTAGAAAATAAAATAAAGTTTTGGAAGGTGTAGAGTGGGGTAGATGTACAAAACAAAATGTAACGAAAACTGTTTTAAAGAAGATAATAAATTTTTTTCATCAATGAGGTGAGTGAAATGATTATTTTTATCTCATTGAGTAAGTTCTATCCTTTCAGATCGTGTGAATATCATGTCTACTTAATACAAATATTGTAAAATAAGTTTGTTTTACTCAATTCATACGTTATTTATCGTATCAATTGTTACTGATTTTCTCGACTGAGAAAAAAAATTTCCGCGCGGAAGGAAAAGTCAATTTTGCCTCGGACATGTATGTGAAGAAACAATTGTTTCTTTTTCTATTCTTTCCCAGTATTTTCCTAAACACTGCACTACGACGAGGAGAAATGCTGTGATCGTTAAGCAACATTTACGACGGTCTTGGAGAAAAGAATTAAAAAAACACGTTTTTACATATATATGAAGAAATCATTCTGTTTCTTTTTCTATTTTTTCCCAGTATTTTCTTGAACATCGCACTGCGACGGGGAGAAATGTCGTGATCGTAAAGCAACATTTACGA